CCCTTTTGCTGGTCACAATGTAGATCCACACAATCTTCACAAGTGTCAGCGCCAACGAAATTTCGGCAGAGTTTCCCCTTAGCGGAAGTCACATCCAACCTCCAGAACTCCACTTAGGCACGCCCACAGGCCATGGTGGGTCTAGGAGGGTCTTCACACTTCAGTAGACTCCCCACAAGGTCCTTAATCAGCTCTGATACCACTTGTTAGATGTTAAGGACGGAGTCTATGAAGATTAGGGGCTGAAATATCTCAAAATCGTCAACTACAATTCTGGACAGAAAAGTCGTCGTCACAAGAAACGTCGTCGACGAAAGGTCCACTGTTAGAATTCTTTCAAACTCGAGTATGTTGTAGCCCTTGACCGTGGCTATCTTTCCCAATTTGAATAGTATCAGAATATGGAGTATAACTCGAGTTATGAACTTCGGCGCACTAGGGGGTATGCTGCCATAGAAAACGTAACTCAATCACAATGATCTCACAAGTTCACACAAGAAAGTTAGAGTAGCAATAGAACCAGGTAGGAGGGGATGAGGAGGACGAGAGGGAAGGTCCCAAGAGATTCCCCAACCAAGGAAACCCCATGCCATACAATTCCCTTCCCCATAGGCAACCCAACTTTGACCTTTGTCACTATCCCAACCTCCACAATCCACCTCAACCCAACTTGGCCACACTTGCCAACCTGGTTTGGTTTCTCCCAACCATTTGGCAGCAACTACAGTAGAAAAGACGAATTTCCCAACCCCCAAAAGTCTGTACCCCATATTGAGTCAACCCCACAACTTCCCATAGTCACCACAACCAAATATCAAAAGCATACGAGCTCCAACGTTCGTAACTTTCTTGTTCGTGCTCCGATTGAAGCGATACTTGGTTCCTCGGAAAGCTCTTGAGCAGAGGAGTCACTTCAGATATCTGCTCAAGCCAAATAACATTCACACACACACTCAGAAAAACCAAACCGCACAAAACACAAATTCTTGCACACACTCACAACACGCATGCAACGCACGAACATATGATGGGAGGCAGACAGACGTGAATGCGAATGGTAGCATCACTCAACAGCGACGCTCTGGGGCGTCCGCTCTGGGGCGGCTGGGAAGAGCATCGCGACGCTCTGGGGCGTCCGGGTAGAGCATCGCGACGCTCTAGGGCGTCCGGGGAGAGCATCGCGACGCTCTGGGGCGTCCGGGGAGAGCATCGCGACGCTCTGGGGCGTCCGGGGAGAGCATAGCGACGCTCTGGGGCGTCCGGGGAGAGCATCGCGACGCTCTGGGGCGTCCGGGGAGAGCATCGCGACGCTCTGGGGCGTCCGGGGAGAGCATCGCGACGTTTTGGGGCGTCCGAGGAGAGCATTGCGACGCTCTGGGGCGTCCGGGGAGAGCATCGCGACGCTCTGGGGCGTCCGGGAGAGCATCGCGACGCTCTGGGGCGTCCGGGGAGAGCATAGCGACGCTCTGGGGCGTCCGGGGAGAGCATCGCGACGCTCTGGGGCGTCCGGGGAGAGCATCGCGACGCTCTGGGGCGTCCGGGGAGAGCATCGCGACGTTTTGGGGCGTCCGAGGAGAGCATTGCGACGCTCTGGGGCGTCTGCTCTGGGGCGGCTGGGAAGAGCATCGCGACGCTCTGGGGCGTCCGGGGAGAGCATCGCGACGCTCTGGGGCGTACGGGGAGAGCATCGCGACGCTCTGGGGCGTCCGGGGAGAGCATCGCGACGCTCTGGGGCGTCCGGGGAGAGCATCGCGACGCTCTGGGGCGTCCGGGGAGAGCATCGCAAGGCTCTGGGGCGTCCGGGTAGAGCATCGCGACGCTCTAGGGCGTCTGGGGAGAGCATCGCGACGCTCTGGGGCGTCCGGGGAGAGCATCGCGGCGCTCTGGGGCGTCCGGGGAGAGCATCGCGACGCTCTGGGGCGTCCGGGGAGAGCATCGCGACGCTCTGGGGCGTCCGGGGAGAGCATTTCGACGCTCTGGGGCGGCTGGGAAGAGCATCGCGACGCTCTGGGGCGTCTGGGTAGAGCATCGCGACACTCTAGGGCGTCTGGGGAGAGCATCGCGACGCTCTGGGGCGTCCGAGGAGAGCATCGCGACGCTCTGGGGCATCCGGGGAGAGCATCGCGATGCTCTGGGGCGTCCAGGGAGAGCATCGCGACGCTCAGGGGCGTCCGGGGAGAGCATAGCGACACTCTGGGGCGTCCGGGGAGAGCATCGCGACGCTCTTGGGCGTCTGGGGAGAGCATCGCGACGCGCTGGGGCGTCCGGGGAGAGCATCGCGATGCTTTGGGGCGTCCGGAGAGAGCATCGTGACGCTCTGGGGCGTCCGGGGAGAGCATCGCGACATTTTGGGGCGTCCGAGGAGAGCATTGCGACGCTCTGGGGCGTCCGGGGAGAGCATCGCGACGCTCTGGGGCGTCCGGGGAGAGCATCGCGACGCTCTGGGGCGTCCAGGGAGAGCATCGCGACGCTCTGGGGCGGCTGGGGAGAGCATCGCGACGCTCTGGGGCGTCCGGGGAGAGCATCGCGACGCTCTTGGGCGTCCGGGGAGAGCACCGCGATGCTCTAGGGCGTCCGGGGAGAGCATCGCGATGCTCTGGGGCGTCCAGGGGAGAGCATCGCAAGGCTCTGGGGCGTCCGGGTAGAGCATCGCGACGCTCTAGGGCGTCTGGGGAGAGCATCGCGTAGCTCTGGGGCGTCCGGGGAGAGCATCGCGACGCTCTGGGGCGTCCGGGGAGAGCATCGCGACGCTCTGGGGCGTCCGGGGAGAGCATCGCGACGCTCTGGGGCGTCCAGGGAGAGCATCGCGACGCTCTGGGGCGTCAGGGGAGAGCATTTCGACGCTCTGGGGCGGCTGGGAAGAGCATCGCGACGCTCTGGGGCGTCCGGGTAGAGCATCGCGACGCTCTAGGGCGTCCGGGGAGAGCATCGCGACGCTCTGGGGCGTCCGAGGAGAGCATCGCGACGCTCTGGGGCATCCGGGGAGAGCATCGCGATGCTCTGGGGCGTCCAAGGAGAGCATCGCGACGCTCAGGGGCGTCTGGGGAGAGCATAGCGACGCTCTGGGGCGTCAGGGGAGAGCATCGCGACGCTCTGGGGCGTCCGGGGAGAGCATCGCGACGCGCTGGGGCGTCCGGGGAGAGCATCGCGACGCTCTGGGGCGTCCGGAGAGAGCATCGCGACGCACTGGGGCGTCCGGGGAGAGCATCGCGACGCTCTGGGGCGTCCGGGAAGAGCATCGCGACGCTCTGGGGCGTCCGGGGAGAGCAAAGCGACGCTCTGGGGCGTCCGGGGAGAGCATCGCGATGCTCTGGGGCGTCCGGGGAGAGCATAGCGACGCTCTGGGGCGTCCCGGGAGAGCATCGCGATGCTCTGGGGCGTCCGGGAAGAGCATCGCGACGCTCTGGGGCGTCCGGGGAGAGCATCGCGACGCTCTGGGGCGTCCGGGGAGAGCATCGCGACGCGCTGGGGCGTCCGGGGAGAGCATCGCGACGCTCTGGGGCGTCCGGAGAGAGCATCGCGACGCTCTGGGGCGTCCGGGGAGAGCATCGCGACGCTCTGGGGCGTCCGGAAAGAGCATTGCGACGCTCTGGGGCGGCTGGGGAGAGCATCGCGACGCTCTGGGGCGTCCGGGAAGAGCATCGCGACGCTCTGGGGCGTCCGAGGAGAGCATCGCGACGCTTTGGGGCGTCCGGGAGAACATCGTGACGCTCTAGGGCGTCGGTGGAGAGCATCGCGACGCTCTGGGGCGTCCGGGGAGAGCATCCAAGCTCTCGGGCGTCCGGGGAGAGCATCGCGACGCTCTGGGGCGGCCGGGGAGAGCATCGCGACGCTCTGGGGCGTCCGGGGAGAGCATCGCGACGCTCTGGGGCGTTAGGGGAGAGCATAGCGACGCTCTGGGGCGTCCGGGAAGAGCATCGCGACGCTCTAGGGTGGCTTAGGAGAGCATCGCGACGCTCAAGGGCGTCCGGGTAGAGCATCGCGACGGTCTGGGGCGTCCGGAGAGAGCATCACGACGCTCTGGGGCGTCCGGGGAGAGCATCGCGACGCTCTGGGGCGTTCGGGGAGAGCATAGCGACGCTCTGGGGCATCCGGGGAGAGCATCGCGATGCTCTGGGGCGTCCGGGGAGAGCATCGCGACGCTTTGGGGCATCCGGGGAGAGCATCGCAACGCTCTGGGGCGTCCGGGGAGAGAATCGCGACACTCTGGGGCGTCCTGGGAGAGCATCGCGACGCTCTGGGGCGGTTTGGGAGAGCATCGCGACACTCTGGGGCGTCCGGGTAGAGCATCGCGACGCTCTGGGGCGTCCGGGGAGAGCAGCGCGCACTCTGGGGCGTCCGGAGAGAGCATCGCGACGCTCCGGGGCGTCCGGGGAGAGCATCGCGATGCTCTGGGGCGTCCGGGGAGAGCATCGCGACGCTCTGGGGCGTCCGGGGAAGGCATAGCGACGCTCTGGGGCGTCCCGGGAGAGCATCGCGACGCTCTGGGGCGTCCGGGGAGAGCATCGCGACGCTCTTGGGCGTCCGGGGAGAGCATCGCGACGCTCTGGGACGTCCGGGGAGAGCATCGCGACGCTCTGGGGCGTCCGGGGAGAGCATCGCGACGCTCTGGGGCGTCCAGGAGAGCATCGCGACGCTCTGGGGCGGCTGGGGAGAGCATCGCGACGCTCTGGGGTGTCCGGATAGAGCATCGCAACGCTCTGGGGCGTCCGGGGAGAGCATCGCGACGCTCTGGGGCGTCCGGGGAGAGCATCGCGGCGCTCTGGGGCGTCCGAGGAGAACATCGCGACGCTCTGGGGCGTCCGGGGAGAGCATCGCGATGCTCTGGGGCGTCCGGGGAGAGCATCGCGACGCTCTGGGGCGTCCGGGGAGAGCATAGCGACGCTCTAGGGCGTCCGTGGAGAGCATCGCGACGCTCTGGGGCGTCCGGGGAGAGCATCGCGACGCTCTGGGGCGTCCGGTGAGAGCATTGCGGCGCTCTGGGGCGTCCGGGGAGAGCATCACGACGCTCTAGGGCGGTTTGGGAGAGCATCGCGACGCTCTGGGGCGTTTGGGGAGAGCATCGCGACGCTCTGGGGCGTCCAGGGAGAGCATCGCGACGCTCTGGGGCGTCCGGGGAGAGCATCGCGACGCTCTGGGGCGTCCGGGGAGAGCATCGCGACGCTCTGGGGCGTCCGAGGAGAGCATCGCGATGCTCCGGGGCGTCTGGGGAGAGCATCACGACGCTCTGGGGCGTCCGGGGAGAGAATCGTGACGCTCTGGGGCGTCCGGGGAGAGCATCGCGACGCTCTGGGGCGGCTGGCGAGAGCATCGCGAAGCTCTGGGGCGTCTGGGACGCTCTGGGGCGTCCGGGGAGAGCATCGCGACGCTCTGGGGCGTCCGGGGAGAGCATCGCGACGCTCTAGGGCGTTCGGGGAGAGCATCGCGATGCTGTGGGGCGTCCGGGGAGAGCATAGCGACGCTCTGGGGCGTCCGGGGAGAGCATCGCGATGCTCTGGGGCGTCCAGGGAGAGCATCGCGATGCTCTGGGGCGTGCGGGGAGAGCATCGCGACGCTCTGGGGCCTCCGGGGAGAGCATCGCGATGCTTTGGGGCGTCCGAGGAGAGCATCGCGACGCTCTGGGGCGTCCGGGGAGAGCATCGCGACGCTCTGGGGCGTCCGAGGAGAGCATAGCGACGCTCTGGGGCGTCCGGGATGAGCATCGCGACGCTCTGGGGCGTCCGTGTAGAGCATCGCGACGCTCTGGGGCGCCCGGGGAGAGCATCGCGACGCTCTGGGGCATTCGGGGAGAGCATCGCGACGCTGTGGGGCGTCCGGGGAGAGCATCGCGACGCTCTGGGGCGTCCGGGGAGAGCATCGCGGCCATCTGGGGCGCCAGGGGAGAGCATCGCGACGCTCTGGGGCGGCGTAGGAGAGCATCGCGACGGTCTGGGGCGTCTGGAGAGAGCATCATGACGCTCTGGGGCGTCCAGGGAGAGCATCGCGATGCTCTGGGGAGTCCGGGGAGAGCATCGCGACGCTCTGGGGCGTCCGGAGAGAGCATAGCGACGCTCTGGGGCGTCCGGGGAGAGCATCGCGATGCTCTGGGGCGTCCGGGGAGAGCATCGCGACGCTTTGGGGCATCCGAGGAGAGCATCGCAATGCTCTGGGGCATCCGGGGAGAGCATCCCGACACTCTGGGGCGTCCGGGGAGAGCATCGCGACGCTCTGGGGCGGTATGGGAGAGCATCGCGACACTTTGGGGCGTCCGGGTAGAGCATCGCGACGCTCTGGGGCGTCCGGGGAGAGCATCGCGACGGTCTGGGGCGTCTGGAGAGAGCATCATGACGCTCTGGGGCGTCCAGGGAGAGCATCGCGATGCTCTGGGGAGTCCGGGGAGAGCATCGCGACGCTCTGGGGCGTCCGGGGAGAGCATAGCGACGCTCTGGGGCGTCCGGGGAGAGCATCGCGATGCTCTGGGGCGTCCGGGGAGAGCATCGCGACGCTTTGGGGCATCCGAGGAGAGCATCGCAATGCTCTGGGGCATCCGAGGAGAGCATCCCGACACTCTGGGGCGTCCGGGGAGAGCATCGCGACGCTCTGGGGCGGTTTGGGAGAGCATCGCGACACTTTGGGGCGTCCGGGTAGAGCATCGCGACGCACAGGGGCGTCCGAGGAGAGCAGCGCGACGCTCTGGGGCGTCCGGGGACAGCATCGCGACGCTCTGGGGCGTCAGGGGAGAGCATCGCGATGCTCTGGGGCGTCCGGGGAGAGCATCGCGACGCTCTGGGGCGTCCGGGGAGAGCATAGCGACGCTCTGGGGCGTCCGGGGAGAGCATCGCGACGCTCTGGGGCGTCCGGGGAAAGCATCGCGACGCTGGGGCGTCCGGGGAGAGCATCGCGACGCTCTAGGGCGTCCGGGGAGAGCTTCGCGACGCTCTGGGGCGGCTGGGGAGAGCATCGCGACGGTCAGGGGCGTCCGGGGAGAGCATCGCGACGCTCTGGGGCGTTCGGGGAGAGTATTGCGATGCTCTGGGGCGTCCGGGGAGAGCATCGCGACGCTCTGGGGCGTCCAGGGAGAGCATCGCGACGCTCTGGGGCGTCCGGTGAGAGCATCGCGATGCTCTGGGGCGTCCGGGGAGAGCATCGCGACGCTCTGGGGCGTCCGGGGAGAGCATAGCGACGCTCTGGGGCGTCCGAGGAGAGCATCGCGACGCTCTGGGGCGTCCGGGGAGAGCATCGCGACGCTCTGGGGCGTCCGGGGAGAGCATCGCGACGCTCTGGGGCGTCCGGGGAGAGCATCGCGACGCTCTGGGGCGTCCAGGGAGAGCATCGCGACGCTCTGGGGCGTCCAGGGAGAGCATCGCGACGCTCTGGGGCGTCCGGGGAGAGCATCGCGACGCTCTGGGGCGTCCGGGGAGAGCATCGTGACGCTTTGGGGCGTCGAGGGAGAGCATAGCGACGCTCTGGGGCGTCCGGGGAGAGCATTGCGACGCTCTGGGCGTCCGGGGAGAGCATCGCGACGCTCCGGGGCGTCCAGGGAGAGCATCGCGACGCTCTGGGGCGTCCGGGGAGAGCATCGCAACGCTCTGGGGCGTCCGGGGAGAACACCGCGATGCTCTGGGGCGTCCGGGGAGAGCATCGCGACGTTCTAGGGCGGCCGAGGAGAGCATCGCGACGCTCTGGGGCGGCTGGGGAGAGCATCGTGACGCTCTGGGGCGTCCGGGTAGAGCATCGCGACGCTCTGGGGCGTCCGGGGAGAGCATCACGACGCTCTGAGGCGTCCGGGGAGAGCATCGCGATGCTCTGGGGCGACCGAGGAGAGCATCGCGACGCTCTGGGGCGTCCGGGGAGAGCATCGCGACCCTCTGGGGCGTCCGATGAGAGCATCGCGGCGCTCTGGGGCGTCCGGGGAGAGCATCGCGACGCTCTGGGGCGTCCGGGGAGAGCATCGCGACGCTCTGGGGCGTTAGGGGAGAGCATAGCGACGCTCTGGGGCGTCCGGGAAGAGCATCGTGACGCTCTGGGGTGGCTTAGGAGAGCATCGCGACGCTCAGGGGCGTCCGGGTAGAACATGGCGACGCTCTGTGGCGTCCGGGGAGAGCATCGCGACGCTTTGGGGCGTCCGGGGAGAGCATCGCGACGCTCTGGGGCGTCCGGGGAGAGCATCGCGACGCTCTGGGGCGTCCGGGGAGAGCATCGCGACGCTCTGGGGCGTCCAGGGAGAGCATCGCGACGCTCTGGGGCGTCCAGGGAGAGCATCGCGACGCTCTGGGGCGTCCGGGGAGAGCATCGCGACGCTCTGGGGCGTCCGGGGAGAGCATCGTGACGCTTTGGGGCGTCGAGGGAGAGCATAGCGACGCTCTGGGGCGTCCGGGGAGAGCATTGCGACGCTCTGGGCGTCCGGGGAGAGCATCGCGACGCTCCGGGGCGTCCAGGGAGAGCATCGCGACGCTCTGGGGCGTCCGGGGAGAGCATCGCAACGCTCTGGGGCGTCCGGGGAGAACACCGCGATGCTCTGGGGCGTCCGGGGAGAGCATCGCGACGTTCTAGGGCGGCCGAGGAGAGCATCGCGACGCTCTGGGGCGGCTGGGGAGAGCATCGTGACGCTCTGGGGCGTCCGGGTAGAGCATCGCGACGCTCTGGGGCGTCCGGGGAGAGCATCACGACGCTCTGGGGCGTCCGGGGAGAGCATCGCGACGCTCTGGGGCGACCGAGGAGAGCATCGCGACGCTCTGGGGCGTCCGGGGAGAGCATCGCGACCCTCTGGGGCGTCCGGTGAGAGCATCGCGGCGCTCTGGGGCGTCCGGGGAGAGCATCGCGACGCTCTGGGGCGTCCGGGGAGAGCATCGCGACGCTCTGGGGCGTTAGGGGAGAGCATAGCGACGCTCTGGGGCGTCCGGGAAGAGCATCGTGACGCTCTGGGGTGGCTTAGGAGAGCATCGCGACGCTCAGGGGCGTCCGGGTAGAACATGGCGACGCTCTGTGGCGTCCGGGGAGAGCATCGCGACGCTTTGGGGCGTCCGGGAGAGCATCGCGACGCTCTGGGGCGTCCGGGGAGAGCATCGCGGCGCTCTTGGGCGTCCGAGGAGAGCATCGCGACGCTCTGGGGCGTCCGGGGAGAGCATCGCGACGCTCTGGGGTGGCTGGGGAGAGCATCGTGACGCTCTGGGGCGTCCGGGTAGAGCATCGCGACGCTCTAGGGCGTCCGGGGAGAGCATCGCGACGGTCTGGGGCGTCCGGAGAGAGCATCACGACGCTCTGGGGCGTCCGGGGAGAGCATCGCGATGCTCTGAGGAGTCCGGGGAGAGCATCGCGACGCTCTGGGGCGTTCGGGGAGAGCATAGCGACGCTCTGGGGCATCCGGGGAGAGCATCGCGATGCTCTGGGGCGTCCGGGGAGAGCATCGCGACGCTTTGGGGCATCCGGGGAGAGCATCGCAACGCTCTGGGGCGTCCGGGGAGAGAATCGCGACACTCTGGGGCGTCCTGGGAGAGCATCGCGACGCTCTGGGGCGGTTTGGGAGAGCATCGCGACACTCTGGGGCGTCCGGGTAGAGCATCGCGACGCTCTGGGGCGTCCGGGGAGAGCAGCGCGCACTCTGGGGCGTCCGGAGAGAGCATCGCGACGCTCCGGGGCATCCGGGGAGAGCATCGCGATGCTCTGGGGCGTCCGGGGAGAGCATCGCGACGCTCTGGGGCGTCCGGGGAAGGCATAGCGACGCTCTGGGGCGTCCCGGGAGAGCATCGCGACGCTCTGGGGCGTCCAGGGAGAGCATCGCGACGCTCTGGGGCGTCCGGGGAGAGCATCACGACGCTCTGGGACGTCCAGGGAGAGCATCGCGACGCTCTGGGGCGTCCGGGGAGAGCATCGCGACGCTCTGGGGCGTCCAGGAGAGCATCGCGACGCTCTGGGGCGGCTGGGGAGAGCATCGCGACGCTCTGGGGTGTCCGGGTAGAGCATCGCAACGCTCTGGGGCGTCCGGGGAGAGCATCGCGACGTTCTGGGGCGTCCAGGGAGAGCATCGCGACGCTCTGGGGCGTCCGGGGAGAGCATCGGGACGCTTTGGGGCGTCGAGGGAGAGCATAGCGACGCTCTGGGGCGTCCGGGGAGAGCATCGCGACGCTCTGGGGCGTCCGGGGAGAGCATCGCGACGCTCTGGGGCGTCCAGGGAGAGCATCGCGACGCTCTGGGGCGTTCGGGGAGAGCATCGCAACGCTCTGGGGCGTCCGAGGAGAACACCACGACGCTCTAGGGCGTCCGGGGAGAGCATCGCGACGTTCTAGGGCGGCCGAGGAGAGCATCGCGACGCTCTGGGGCGGCTGGGGAGAGCATCGTGACGCTCTGGGGCGTCCGGGTAGAGCATCGCGACGCTCTGGGGCGTTCGGGGAGAGCATCACGACGCTCTGGGGCGTCCGGGGAGAGCATCGCGACGCTCTGGGGCGACCGAGGAGAGCATCGCGACGCTCTAGGGCGGCTGGGGAGAGCATCGTGACGCTCTGGGGCGTCCGGGGTAGAGCATTGCGACGCTCTGGGGCGTCCGGGGAGAGCATCGCGATGCTCTGGGGCGTCCGGGGAGAGCATCGCGACGCTCTGGGGCGGCCGAGGAGATCATCGCGACACTCTGGGGCGGCTGGGGAGAGCATCGTGACGCTCGAGGGCGTCCGGGTAGAGCATCGCGATGCTCTGGGGCGTCCGGGGAGAGCATCACGACGCTCTGGGGCGTCCGGGGAGAGCATCGCGACGCTCTGGGGCGTCCGGGAAGATCATCGCGATGCTCTGGGGCGTCCGGGGAGAGCATAGCGACACTCTGGGGCGTCCGGGGAGAGCATAGCGACACTCTGGGGCGTCCGGGGAGAGCATAGCGACGCTCTGGGGCGTCCGGGGAGAGCATCGCGATGCTCGGGGGCGTCCGGGGAGAGCATCGCGACGCTCTGGGACGTCCGGGGAGAGCATCGCGACTCTGGGGCGTCCGGGGAGAGGATAGTGACGCTCAGGGGCGTCCGGGGAGAGCATCGCGACGCTCAGGGGCGTCCGGGGAGAGCATTGCGACGCTCTGGGGCGTCCGAGGAGAGCATCGCGACGCTCAGGGGCGTCCGGGGAGAGCATCGCGACGCTCTGGGGCGTATGGGGATAGCATCGCGACGCTCTGGGGCGGTTGAGGAGAGCATCGCAACGCTCTGGGGCGTCCGGGGAGAGTATCGCGACGCTCTAGGGCGGATGGGGAGAGCATCGCGACGCTCTGGGGCGTCCAAGAAGAGTATCGTGACGCTTTGGGGCGTCCGGGGTGTTGTGTGATGCAACCATATGCATTCACATCTGTCTGCCTCCCATCATGTGTTTGTGCGTTGCATGCGTGGTGTGAGCGTGTGCAAGAAATTTTGTGTCTTGTGTGGTTTGGATTTTCTGTGTGTGTATGAATGTTATTTGGCTTGAGCAGATATCTGAAGTGATTCCTCTGCTTAAGAGCTTTCCGACGAACCAAGAATCGTCGCGATCGGAGCACAACCAAGAAAGTTACGAACATTGGAGTTCGTATGCTTATATATTTTGGTTGCAGCTACTTTGGGAAGTTGTGGGATTGACTCATTATGGGGTATAGACTTTTGGGGTTGGGAAATTCGAACCCATCACTGTAGATGCTGCCAAGAGGTTGGGTGAAGCCAAACCAGGTTGGCAAGTGTGGCCAAGTCGGGGTGAGGTGGATGGCATGGGTTGGAAAGTGACAAAGGTCAAAGTTTGTTGCCTATGGGGAAGGGAATTGTATGGCATGGGGTTTCCTTGGTTGGGGACTCTCTTGGGACTTTCCCTCTCGTCCTCCTCTCTCCCTCCTACCTAGTTTAGTGCTACTCTAATGTTCATTGTGAACTTGTGAGACTAATTGTGATTGAGTTAAATTTCTGTGGCAGCATACCCCCTAGTGCGCCGAAATTCATAACTCAAGAAATACTTCACCTTATTGTATGATTCAAATTGGGAATTGTAGCCACGGACTAGAGCTACAACATATCTGAGTTTGGTGAAGTTTAAACAGTGCACTTTGTTGGTGCAACCATACGGTTTGCACTCGGCTTGTTGTCCGTGTGCGTGAATGTGTGTGTGTATGGAATGGTATGAGGGCATGGGATAATATATATTTCATGCTTGTAATTGTGTGTGAATGTTGAGTCATGATGTCGAGTGTGTGTGTCGAGTCAATAGAGAGTTATCGCTAGACGCGTGTTACGCAGTCGTTTGTGTCTCGCGCGCGGTTTCTATTTTGTCGTGCGCGGTTTCTATTTTGTCCTGTGTCGAACGTTCGGCGTGTCGCAGGTGTGTGCAGCAGACCCATCAAGAACTCAAGGATGAGTTTGTGATGAAGAGCCCGAGCCTTGGTGTCAAGCCTCAAGTGATTTCGAAGCTTGCCAAAAGGGTACACCTCAAGATATTGAAGATAGTTACATTACTTTGTGTAGTGTAACATTTCACTTGGTGTAGGCCCTAGTGAAGGGTAGTTTCGAGACCCTTCGTGGTTGGGGACAGTGTGGCACTGTTCCATATCACTGTACCTCGGCTCTTGGGGTTTGTAGGAGCTGGGAGTCATTCCCAACTCCTAACTCTTCCTATCTTGTGTTCTAAGACTATAGTGGCTGCCATAGTACCGTTCGTTCAAACCGACGCTGTGTCGTCAATTCTTTATCAAATCGTGCAATCTAAATTGCTAATTGTAGACGACATGAAGACGCTCCAGATCCAATTTGAATCAAGTCATTTGCAGCTGTGAGCAGAACGCTATCAACGTTTGAAGCCGCTGTGCAGAAATCCGTCTGTGCTCTCTATCTTTCGTTTTAGGCACATTCAAGCCTATTGTGACTATAACAAGTGGTATCAGAGCCCCTTGGAGCAGTTTCGACAATGTCTGGACCTGAGGAAAGGGGTGGCATAGGTGCTGGTGGCAGTGGAGAAGCTCAAGCTCAAGGCCAACCCCGTGATTCAGCCATGGCGCCCATGCAACCAAGTCTTGGCCCACCTAGGGATGAGCCTAGGGTGTTTGGGCTTGACAAGTTCAACGGTGACAACTTTGCTGAATGGTCCTTCAAGATGGAGAACATCTTTGACCACTATGACCTGCTGGAGGTGATGGAAGGAACGGAGAAGCGCCCCGAGAACGACCCGGAGAAGAGCCCGTGGGTGCGGAAGAGCGCACAAGGCTATCTCTTACTTGGGCAAGCGTTGGGGAGCAGTCAGATCCGTCACATCAAGCCATTCCAGCGTGAACCAGAGAAAGGACCAAAGGCATGGGCTGCTCTCAAGGGTGTACATGCTCCTGCAACAGCGGCGGTAGCGGTGGTGTTGGAACGGCAAATGGCGGCACTACGAATTGAAGAAGACGAAGCGGTTGAAGAAGGGGTGCAGAAATTCTTCGACTTGTTGACGCGGCTTGAGGGAGCTGATTTGAACTACAGTGAGCTCCAAAAGAAGACCAAGTTGCTGGCCTTACTCCCAGAGTCATGGTCCTCGCTCATCATCAACCTTAATCGCGACTTGCCCCGCCTCTCGCTTGAAGACGTGAAGCGAGCTATCCTTCAAGAGGATTTCCGCCGCCGTGAGTTGGCGAGTGCGGATGGCGCTGGGGCAGCGAGCATCGGCCGTGGATATGGTCGAGGAAGAGGCAGAGGACGAGGGGGAGGAAGGTTTGGTGGCAGCAACTTCGGCGGAGGCCGCAGGAGTGGCGGTTACGGCAGCGACGACAAGAGCTACGGACGCGGTCGCGGCCGATTCGACGGCGAGTGTCACTATTGCCACAAGAGCGGACACATGTGGCGCGACTGCTACAAACCTGATGGTTGGACCCCTGCTCAAGGCCAAGAGGGTAGAGGAGCAGGAGGAGGGAGAGGACGAGGCCGTGGAGGCCGTGGCGGTCGCGGTGGCGGAGCTGCAAACATGAAGAGCGGAGACAACGACAAGGACCCGAGCGACGATCGATACCCGGGTCTATTCTACTTCGTGTCGACGCAAGTACCGGCTGGTCCAGAGAAGGATGAAGGCTTTGAGGAGAGGCAAGTGGCAGCAAGCATCAGCACCAAGGATGGAGCGGTCGGTAGCGACGATGGCGCGAACGGTCGCGCTAAGGAGAATGAGCTCAAGAAGAGCAAACCTGGAGGGACCAGCAAGTTCAGTGAACCTAAGGAGAGTGGTGCAGCAACCAAGGAGCAGCAAAAGGGTGAGGAGAACCCAGAGGCAGCAGCGGAGGAGGACTACGGAGAGAGTATGTGGGGCGCTATTGCGAGCGCGGCATTCTCCAATCCAACTTCGGCTACGGGGGAGTGTGATTGGCTCACCTTGCATCGGCGCATGGGGCATGTGGCCCTGCCCATCTTGCAGCAGCTAGTGAAGAATGAGATGGTTGCTGGCATACGTGTGAAGGGGGAGCCCGATGAGGTGCTTGGCTGCCCGACGTGCATTCAAGCCAAGTTCACCCGGTTTCCGTTCCCTAGTTCGGAGGCAACGGCAAAGGCACCGCTTGATGAGGTGGTGATGGACGTGGTGGGCCCCCTGAAGCTTGGAGCTGCTGGAGCTGAGTATTTTCTCACCATTGTCGACGTCTACACCCGCATGACTTGGGTGTACGTGCTGGCCAAGAAGAGCGACGTGGCTGAAACGTTGAAGACGGATTGGTTCCCGATGGTGGAGCGGCAACAAGACCGTCTAGTCAAGTCAATCCGCACCGATCGAGGGGGAGAGTTCCTGAGCAAGGAGTTTGGGTTGTGGCTGAAGAAGAATGGTATTCGGCACTCCCTCACCATGCCATACTCCCCTGCAATGAACGGCATCGCCGAGTGAGCGAACCGCACAATCACGGAGGCGGCACGCGGGTTGCTCATTGAAGCCGGGCTACCCGACTATTTCTGGCCTGATGCGGTGCGGAGCGCGTGTGTGGCCAAGAACAGAGCCTTGACTCATGTGGGATCAGACAAATGGGTGCCCTATGTGGAGTGGCTAGGAAGGAAGCCAAAGGTGGATATGCTTCGGGTGTTCGGGTGCATGTGCATGGCGCTCGTGCCTAAGCATCTTCGGCACAACAAGCTTGGTGCCAAGGCGGTGTGGGCCGTGCACTTGGGCATGGCTCAAAACAGCAAGGGATGGCTTCTTTGGGACCCATTCACCAAGAAGTTCTTGGTGAGAAGGGACTGCAAGTTCATGGAGAACTTCATGTACAAGGATTGGAAGGCGGAGAATGAGGCGAAGATAGGCGTGCGGTTTGGGGAGGTGAAGAGTTCCGGTTTGGAGCATGTGGAGCTGCCTTTGGAGCTGAGCAGCGGCAGCACAACCACAAGGCAATCCTCCCTTGTGAATGGGGGAGAGGAGGCCAATGATGCAGAGGAAGAAGAGGAGGAGGTGCAGCAAGTGAGCGAGCGTGCACCGTCACTCCCTTCCCGTACTACGAGTGCTCCACGGATTCGAGCCACACCGCAGCAACGCCAAGGCCTTCAAGTCCCTGCAGCTGAGGAGGAAGGAAGGGGGAAGATGAGAGTTCAACCCCCTAATAGGCTGACCTATGATGCGCCGGGAAAGCAGGGCAAGACAGCCCTGGCCGGAGCGGCAATGATGGTCGGAGACGACGAGGAGAGTGACTACGAGGAGTGTGCCTTCGCGTTCTTCTCTC